CCCTGTTTCCATTCCCCTTCTTAACTGATCAGCATGTCTGACCACCACTTTTCCCTCCGAGAACTTTATACGGTACAACATTCTACCCATCTTTCCGACCACCACTCCTGATTCTCATTTTTTTTTCACTTTCATACAATCTGGCCCATACGGTATGACCTACCTCAAACTTCCTCCCACTTTACTGTTCCGTTTTCTCACCTTCCTTCTCATTCCGAGGTCTCAACGCTTCCAATCCGATCCACGTTCGTCGCCCTAAAAACTTTTCTGATGGCGATAATTCCGCCCCCTTCCGGCTATTGTTATAATATGCCACCGAAATCCATATCTCACCATCTCCAAATTTGGCCTTCCTCAACCAACTTTTCACGATTCCCACTCTTCTCTCCGCCTGCCCATTTAAGCTCGGATGATAAGGTGGCGCTAGCCAGCGTCTACATGAGCGGGAGGGGTAGGAACAGTTTGCATCCTATTTTTTTTGAGGAGGTAGGGGGTAAGCTGCTTTAATGGGGGTAGGATAAATTATTGGGGGGGGGGTTATCTATTAAATTTTGAGATGAAATAGGACAAAATTTATTGCTGTAAAAATTAATACTTTTATTATAGTATTATTATAATACAATTCATCGACAATCTATATATTGCAAACAATCCTACACATTGTTTTCCAAATAAACTAACCTTTTAAATGTAATTTAAATGGTTTAGATATTTCAGCAAGGTCATAATGCCATAATAATTAATTAATTGTAAATAATTGAGGTTTTATTTGAATTTATTATCTAAAAAATAAATTTTTTCACAAAATATCGATAGTTGGTAGTAGAGATAGATTAATTTAAGTTATCCTTTATAAATTCTTTGAAAAGAGTATCAATAAATAAATAGGTGAAAATAATGATAAAGAGACACCGCCGCCGAAGTTGGCGGGAATTTTTTAGGGGGATAGGCAAAGGTTTTTGAAGGCGGTTTGCATCCAGTGAAAATTATGTCATGTAGACGCTGGTGACACCGCCGCCGAAGGCGGGACTAATTTTTTAAGGGGGGTAGGTAAAGGTTTTTGAAGGGGGTTTGCATCCAGTGGAAATCCTGTCATGATGACGCTGGCGCTAGCACATGTTTCGCCCCACTTTCCACACAAAATTTTCCAAACCCTTTACTGCTAAATGTCAGACCTCCATCGGACACGATGACTTTTGCCACCCCGAACTTCGCCCACAAAATTTTCAATTTTTTTACCACAATTTTCGTCATTAATCCACCTACAACCTCAAACTCTACCCACTTGGAGTATGCATCTACTACCAGGAAATATTCTTTCCTATCAAACTCAAAGAAATCTATGTGAATTCTTTCCCAAGGCCCCGACGCTTTCGGCCATGTACTTTTCTTATCCCTCGATGTCATACTGGCCCATGTATTACAAACTAGACATTGTTTAGCTAGCTTTTCTATTTCCTCATTCATTCCCGCCCACCACACATATTCACGACCTCACTGTTTTATCCTTTCAACTCCCTGATGCCCTGCATGCAACATTGCCATCACAGCCTCTCTTAGCTTTCTGGGAACAATCGCTCTATTTCCTCGTACTAAACAATCATCCAAAACAGTCAATTTTTGCCACATTCTTGTATCTTTTATCTCCCTCCCGCCATGGCTTACGCCCCATTAGACACTCCTTTACCCGACACAGATCCCGGTCTTTCATTGTTGCTGCCCGAATTTCCTCCCAGTTCACCGGACTCTTTAAAATTCTTGACATCGCCCTCACCATAGCCATCTCCATTTTTTTCTCCGCATTGTCCCACTTTTGTCTTCAACCTCCTCTCTGGCCCCACATCTTGACATTTTGTCTGGCAATTAGTTTTTCGTGCTCTTCAATATTTCAACGTTAAATTGAAACTTCCTACCAACAACAGCCAACTCTGCAACCGTGGAAACATCATCAAATTTTTGTTATCCTTCTTGAACAAATATATCAAAGGTATGTGATCCGTATAAACAACAAACCTCCGCCCAATCAAATATTCTCGGCACTTGGTCAGCCCAAAAACCACTGCCAAAGCCTCCTGTTCGATTACGGAATATCTCGTTTCCGCATCCCGGAATACTCTGGAGAAAATAATACGGGCCTCTCTATTCCATCAATCTCATGTAATAACGCCCCTCCTACTCCTTTACTGGACGCATCCACCGCCAGAATCACCTCCAACTCATTGTTGAAAATACCAAAATGGGCTCCTCTCCAATTCTCTTCTTCAAACCTTCAAACGCAGCATCCTGCTCATCTCCCCACTCAAATCTTACTCCTGTCTTCAGCAATTTATACAACGGCGCTGCTATTTCTGCAAAATCCTTGACAAATCGATGGTAATAATTTACCATTCCCACAAAAGATTGTACCTCCGCCTTGCATTTCGGCCTTATCATACTTCCAATTCCAATCATATTTTTATCTAGTGATCTAACCTCTACTCCATTAATCCGATGCCCCAAATATACAACCTCCACTACTCCTAAGACACTTTTCTCCCTACTCGCCCGTAATCCCTTTTCCCGGATCCTCTGAAATACTTCTCCCAATCTTCTATTGTGCTGCTCTGGCGTAACCCCCGTTATTAATACATCATCCATATATTAAAAAACACCCTCTAATCCCTGAAAAACTGCCGACATCATCCGTTGAAATATAGGCGCCGATACACTCAATCCAAACGGCAACCTGTTATAGTCAACAACCTCTACCTCTCCTTTTCACCCGTAATTGCAAATACGCGTTCGAAAAATATCTGCTCCCCTTCAAACTGGCCATTATCTCATCTATCCTGGGTAACGGATACTTCACCTCCACCACACATAGATTCAACGTTACCCGTAAATCCGCACACAACCTCAACTTCCCATTGGCCTTCTTTTCGGGTACCAAAGGCGTCGCCCATTCGCTGTACTCCACCGGACTCACGATGCCCTCCTTTACCCATCGATCCAACTCTTTCTACTTCATGCCTCCATTAAAAGGTACTCTACGCACAGCACAATATTGGTACGCATCCCTCCTTCATCCGTATATACACTTCATAGTCCCACAAACAACCCAAATCTTCATCAAAAATTTCCTCATTGAGCTAATTTTTCTACTCCTTTTTTCTACAATTTCCAACTCTCCCATTGAATCCTCTGGTCTATTTATTTCTCTTCCTTGTTCTTGCAACTCCTTGTAATTCTCCATTTTCTATACCTCGCATCCGCGGTCCAACTATTTCCTTTGTCACTGTTGAACATCCTCCCATTTCCCTATTCATCCACATTTGACCTTCTCTCACCACCTCTACACGATCCTCCATTGTCATCCCTTCACTTTCTCCCCAAAACATGGATGTCCCCTCATCCACTTCTATATTGTCTCGGTCTTCCATCTATTCACCATCTATCCTGTAAATTTCTTCATCCTCCTCGACCATCTTTATAATATCCTCCCTGATGCCTTTTTTGACGGCCAGAAATACTCCCCACTGCGCAAATACTACCCAAAAATTATACTCCAGCCCAACACTCGTAATCCAGTCCCATCCCATCTGGCTCTACACTTCTATTAATCCATAAATCCAATACTTGGCATTCGTCACTCCCTACATCGCCTATTTTCACTTTTCCCATCATCTCCATCTCAGATCCTTCAAACTGCCTCACTACATCCGTCACTCCCTACATCGCCTATTTTCACTTTTCCCATCATCTCCATCTCAGATCCATCAAACTGCCTCACTATTGTTATGTTATTATATGATAATAGGTTTGAATATAATTTCGTTTTTAATCCCTTATTTTTTTATCCTTTTTTCTTTCTTCATTTTGCTGTATATACATTTTTAGTATAGGTTCAGAATCTGCAATAAGCTTAATAAGGGCCATCATATTGCCTTCTTGTTGCCTGTTCCCCCAGAAGGCTTAGTTACGAGATATTAAATAATCTAAACATCTTATTATAATTCTTATAATAGAACGGTTATTATCTACACATTCTTTCTGAGGTGTTATAAATTTTAATATAGAATTTTTATTATGAGAAAGCCTTAGATAATCGGCCATCATATGTGCCTGTGAAGATTCATGCAAAATAATATCACGATTAAAATTTAGCCACTTATCTAGACCTTCACATGTCCATTTTGAATTTGCGTGTGGACCACCAAATAAGAGACATGTTAAGCAAAAAACTTTATACATTTTAATACTATAAGTAATCCAATTTCTAGGAATTTTGCTATTGTCAATATTGGTTAATATTTTTAGGCCTATTTTAAAATTGGGAAAATAATTTATGACAAGAAATTTCGGATAACAAATTTACTAAACATCGACCAAAATTTCCGTGAATATATTAAATTAAATATTTAGTAGGGGGGGGAGTCTTATTGTTACATTTATAAACCAGAAATCACATGATCATGATGGATGTAAAAAAAAGTACCCCCACTCAAATTTACTGAAGCAGTTGTTTCGGACCCCCCTCCACGTTGTAGGGGCCCCTGTTTGGTTGTAAAAGTGTGTCCACTAAATTAATCTACGCTTATCGGCTTTGAGTCGGAGTCCCATGAACTCGAATATTTAACAATACTAACCCTAAAGAGAAAATTCTGGTTTTAAATAATATAGAAATAAAAATTTTAAAACCTGAGCCCTGTCTTGGAAATAATTATAAATATCCCTTTGATAAACTTAACTCTCATTAATTATTAAATATTCTTAAGTTAAGAAATTATAAAAATAATTAAAAATGTTTCTAATTCTTTAAAAATAATATATTAATATTCCATATAATTAAACAAAATATTATATTTTAGAAGTTGTTTAATGTCGAAACCTAGTTAAGGTTTCAGTATCAAAGTATACGAGGTTTAAATTGCCATCAAACTGCTTCAAATCCAAAAATGTATCAATTCCTATTGGATCTCTTGTTTTTTTTTAAATCAACCAATGGAAATAGAATTAATATTAATGATTTTAGATCAGCTGACCTTAAACTAAAATTTTGTTTAATTCAAATTTCTTTTAAAAATGGGAAGAAGATTAGAAACCTTGGCAGCTGTAACATGCTTAAAAACTTTGCTTATGATATTCAATATATTGTTTTGGGTAATGTTTATAATTTATAAAGCATTAGTTATTGATTCAAAATATTTTTTTTATCATTCTTCAGATAAGTGGCATAATAATAATTTGTATTGGAATTTGGGCAAAAGTGTCGCTTTATATTTATACACAACTATCTACAAACAATTATGCATTCACACCTTATCTTTTAATTGGTATTGGAGCACTTATAATATCAGTTGGGACTTTAGGATGCTGTTGCACTGCAAAGGGGAACACACGATTTCTCTATGTTGTAAGTTAATTTTTTATATTATTAAAAAGTAAATATTATATTTAACTTAATTTCAAAAATTCAAAACAAAAATTATTCTGCAATTTTAAATTGACCAAAAAACAAATACGGCTTAAATAATTTAGCTATATTGAATAGAAATTAGTATTATGAGATTTGATTATTCAAGGAACAGATGTTAACAAATAATTTTGTCACAATTTGACTGAATATTATACATAATATTTTTTGTGAATAATTTAATAAAAAATTTGTCTTAATTTAAATTAAATGAAAAGAATATTTTTTTTGCCATAATGGATTCATATATATATTTTCTATCCTCTTCAAAATTATAAGGTTTTTCTATATACACTACTAAATGGTTGGTATTTTATAGTTTTGTTAATTACAGATAACTAGTTATATTTTTGTAAAAAATAGCTATAACTAGTTACTTTTTGAAATAATAACAAAAGTAATTAATTACTCTTTAAAACATGTTAAAAATACAATAGTTCATTAATTACCTGTATTGATGGTTTCTGTTGATATATTGCTTCACTTTCATAAATTACTCTGTAAAAAATTTTCATATTATTGGGAAGTTTATTTTAGGAGAAAAACTCAATTTTTAAAATAGTTTTTTGTTAAAGTAAAATAAAAATTTATTAAGTCTTAAAAAATAAATATCAGAGACCTACAGGTCCAGTCGTATTTTAATTATCTTAAAATATACCCAGCCCAGGCTTAAATGCCTAAATTTTTTTTAAAAAAATACCAAATGTTTTAAAACCAAATATTTTAAATTACCATTATTAACTATAAAAATAAATTTATTATATTTAAAAAAATCAGGATCAGACCTTAAATATAAAACCGTTGGGAAACCTTGATTAGGTCAACAGTACTGGTTTTTTATATAACAGGTTGGTATTAGAAATGGGTTCTTTGGTTTAGTTTGGTCTTAGCTCAGCTTGACTATATCCTTTTATAATTATAAAATTAAATAAAGCAATTTAATCAAATTATTGTCAACAATTTTTTCCCGAGCAGGTGACTATGTAACAAAAAAAGGTCAAAAGATTATCAAACAAATGATGCAATTTACAATGTGTAAGAATCGAGTCTAATTAAGGAAATTTTAAATCCAGTCATAATTGCTACCAGTCACTATCATTTTTTTAAGGGATGTGCCTGGTAGTGTTGTTAATTGGCTAAGTCGAGTCGACTTAGCCTAAAATCTAGTCAAGTTTTGAGTCACAAAACTCATTTCAATTTGAGCGGCTCAATGAGCCGCATGAGTCGGCTTCAGAGTCGTCTAAGGTTTATTTTGAATCGGCCTGCTATTATTATTTACTCCACGATAAATATATTAAAAAAATTTAACCCCTATGGTTCGAAAATTTAAATATTTTTAAATTCGAAATGTATTATTTTAAGAATATGACCATGTTATTATTAATATTATCTAAACCCCGACATTTCGCTGATAGATGTCTAAACTTTTATGCCATCTATTACCACAATCTTAAAGCTTGCATAATAGCTTTCTGGATAAAATGATGAGTTAGCCGTTTTTAAATTGGCTCAAGAGCCTTTTAACAACACTAGAAAATATACCCGGGCTAGGTGGTGTTTTACAGATCCCTAATAGGAATACAATTTTTTATGCTACTCTATACTTTGTAAATGGTTCCAGATTCATCGTCTAAAAATGGATATAAATATAAATACATCTGTGATGCAAAATATCCCCATTTGAGCTTATTTTTAAAAATGGTCAACTAAATATTTTCCAAAAAAATTACCTAGCTTGAGATTTCTAGTTATGAGCAAAATCTTCAGGCTTGCATAATATTTTTAATGGATAAAATACTGAATTAACCATATTTATAATTACTAAATATATCTTATAAAAACGTATCTACATACCGATACATCAACTATTGAATATCAATACAGAAACTGACTTAAAAAATTTATTGAGCTGATATCGCATCTATATACAAATATATATAATTAAGATAAATGATTGTTAGATTTTAATGCTCTGAGCCCATAATTTGGTTGTAAATTTTACGACTAAGCAAATTAACACTATACATAAGTCATTTTGAATTTTAAAATATTTAAATTCTCGAATCATAGTGGTTAAATTTTTTAAATATTTTATCGTGGAGTAAATAATAATAGCAGGCGGATTCAAAATTTTTCCGACTCTGAAGCCGACTCATCAAGCCGACTCATGCGGCTCATTGAGCCGCTCAATTTGAAATGAGTTTTGCGACTCCAACTTGAGTTCAAAGTAGTAAATACTCGACTATTTAACAACACTAGTCGACTCATGCGGCTCATTGTGCCGCTCAATTTGAAATGAGTTTTGCGACTCCGACTTAAGTTCAGAGTCGTAAAAACTCGACTATTTAACAACACTAGTGCCTGGTACCCATAAAAAAACCTTAATTTCTTTGTTTTAGTATCATAACTGCTAATAAATTTTTTAACAACTTTAAATTTACCTAAATTTTATTAAATAACATTAGGAGTGCTGGAATTAATTATTTTTTTAACGATTGCTACCGTTTTGTTAGTTATCATATTTGATTATTTCATTTTTATATTTGCAAATATGTAAATATATTTTTTAAAATGATATTTTTTTTTATATTAGCGTTCAGAACCAAAATAAAAATCGGTTTGGACAACGTTCGGTTTGGTCTTATAATACTTGGCTTACGAGGCGGTTCCAGATCAAACGTTGTCTTTATTAGGGGAGCCAAATACAAAATTGCGTTTTTTAAATAAGAGAAAACTATACAAATGTGTTTAATTTTACATTTTAAAAAATAAGCGTTGTTTTATGGAAGCAAATAAGAAATGTTTATTTTAAAAAGAATAAATATATGAGATAAAAATTAGATAATAATTTCAAATTTTCACCGATCCGGCATCTTTAGATATTACTAAAAAACCGTACCGATCCGATATTTATATTGATATCTATCTTTGAACCAATATAACAAAAATATCAATATTTTGAAAAAAAACCAACTAACTTATTCTCCTAAATAACAATCCCATTTTAATGTTGTTAAACAGTTCAATTTATCCAATTTATTACCTAAGTCTCGAAATTTCGCCCAAACCTTTCTGTCATCGCAAAATAAATAAGTTTGCGTATTTTACTTTTGGTCAAAATCTTGAGTTAACCGTTTTTAAAAATTGGCTAAATCGAGCCGTTTAACAAAACTGAATGTGACTTGTTAAATATTATTTAAATCCTTTTCTTGTTACAGGTAATATGACAAAAAAATAGTGTTAAACATTACATCAAATAAATTATATATATATACAACCAAAAACAATGAAAATATCAGATCAGATCGGTTTTTTTAAAAAATATCGACCCGATCCGATATTTAATATAGGCACAGCCCTAGTATTTTTTTTAATTAAAGAGATCTCCACTCAGTTTTTAAAATAACTAATTTAAAACTAACATGAAAAAAATATCTTTTAATTCAAGAAATTTTGATATGAAGAATTTTATTATCGAAATAGGAAAAACAACATCAACTTTGAAAAAACGATATCAAAACTTTTTATCCTAACTTTGACAACAATCGCAAGTGCAGAACAGGAATTTTTATTTTTAATTAAAGGTAAAATCTTAATATGAAAAAATGGTGAGTTTATTGAAGCTTTTTTGATAAAATTGAACAATAATTTATATTTAGTATGCATTTTACTAAAAATCAAAGATAATTCCACCAATTTATATGTATCTTAATCCTTACCCCTCTCTTTCATTGTTAGCGCGAATTCGCGGCCAATTATATACGCTGTTTTTTGTATTCTGTGCCGCGAATTCGAGCTAACTGAATTAAAATATGCTTGTATTTTTGTGTATTTTTATTACTTCGCCACGAATTCGACTAAATCTCTAACCAACAGGATCGAAAAGATGCTGTTTAAATAAAATATAAAAATTTCAAAGATTTATACAATTTATTAACAATTTTATATTAACTAGAATATCATAATGGTATGTATAATTAAAATGATGGAAGTGAGACGATAAATTATTACAAACAGGACATAATATAAAAGAATGTTCGGGCTATTCCATGTCATCGATCACGATTCGGCCGACCTCTTTTAATATTTTTGAATTTCTCGAGTTATTTAGATATGTAAAAAAAAATAAGAAAGCCAGTTATCTTAGCTCTCTAGGACACCTGGTTCTTGAGATATAGAGGCTCATAGGTGCAAAAAAGAGGCACTTTGAAATCTGTAAAATCTTTAAAATGCTTATATCTCAAAAACTATTTAGAGTAAAAAAGTTATGATATATCATACTGTAGGAAAAAAAATCTCCAAAGGTCTATAAAAAAAATTGGCGCCAATTTGAGTCTGTAACTTCCGGTTTACCTAAATTTCTTTACCTGTTTAAAACAATAAAGGGAGTTTAATATTTTTTTTGTCTTTTATTTAGACACCTTTTATAAATATATATGCGATGCCAAAGCCTTGGCTACGGTAACGGCTCATCAAAGAAAATAGATAGCGCTTTACCAAACTATGGATTATGGTTAAAATTTTGTTGCTAACTTACTAGTGCTGTAAATATTTCAAAAAAATCGAACGCGTTCAATGTTCATTGACAAAAATCGAACGCGTTCACGTTCAAGTTCACTTTCAAAAAAAAGGAACGCGTTCACGTTTATGAACCGTTCAAAATTTTATGAAATTTTTTTTTAAATTTAATTTAATATAAATAAATGTTTAGCCATGTTAAAAAATAATATAGTTTTATTTTGATAATATAATTATAAATAAAATATAATATAGCGAAAAAGATATTTTTATCTATAGAAAATTTTTCTTATTAAATTTTAATAACAATTGTTTTCAAAATATTTATCCGATAGACAGGAACACTTGGCAGTTAATACGGCATTAGCTATACTAAAAACGCGCTCTACAGGGGCAGATGAGGGGATTGCGGTATTATACTT